CTTTTTTGTAATGATTATATAAAAATATAATAAATATCATGATAAAATTTGAAAAATATACTTTAATGTATCCCTTCCCTTTTCTCTATCGTAATATTAAAGGACCACGTCTCTTGTCACCAGTCAAGCGAAATTTCCCTTTCTCAATCATTCTCGCTCCATGACTTCCCCTTCGTTCATCGCTTTGAAGATCACATTCTAAAGACATGGCACGTAGTTAGCGATAATCGTCAATTAATTTAACAATGCGTATTCAAGATAGCTGATGATTCTCAAAAAATCCAAATCAGCATCCAAAATGGAAAGCAAACTTTCATCGTTCAATAATAATTTTATATTTTATAACACAGTAGATTAATGTAATATTAATATAATATAAATATGTTACACAGAAATATAAATCCTTAATAATTTTAATTAGTAGACATTGGATTCTTACGCAATTTCATATTTTTTTAGAAAGCAGATTGGAAAATAACATAAAAACATAATTTTTTCTCATTAAAAAAGCATTCTAAAAATGCATATTTATTTGTACACCTTGTGCATATTTGCGTATTTGTGCAAATCTGCATATTTTGTGCATGTCTGCAAAAAATATCTGCATAAAAATCCTATATCTATTAATTATTATGAGGGAAAAATAAAGAAGGTTAAAATAATTAAGAAATAAGTTCAGTCTTATTACTGTCGTAATATAAATAGTTTTCGCGATATTTTACAAAAATATAGCAATCAGTAGAATCGCCTTCTCACGAATGACTTTTGTAAGCATACACAATGCTTTGGCACCCTTGCATAGAATTCGGGACAGAGGATAAGAATCAAGGGTGTGTTGAAATCTCCTTCGTAAAGATTATGTCAAAAGACGTTAAAACAAAAAAGTGGACAAGCTACAGACGACGAACCGATAGCTCTCTGCTTATACTCAATGTATCAAAATTTATTGCGCTTTTTCTCTTTTGACGTTTCTTTCTTCTTGATATATAGGACGCGTCCCGGATTCCTACATCGTTCTTTCTATCCATAGATTTTTCTACTGGGTTAAAATCGATTATCTCGTACAAAAAAATATTATTGGTCATAAGATTTCAATTCAGAAAATCGTGATTGTGTTTTAGGTATAGTACTCAGGCGAAGATGGTAGACACGGGTACGGGCACGCTTTATATTATCGGTTCATTCAAGAGGATGACTACTGATCCCGATTTCAAGGTATGAATTTATATAATCAAATTTATTAAATATATATTTTCTTTAACTTTTTCAAGTTTTAATTAATTTTACTATTAATAAAAATAGTCTACTAATACAAAATATACGACTTTGTAATTTGTAAAATTTTACAATTGCTGTATCCTGTAGTTGCTGTTAATAGATAATAAGTCACTAGACTTTCTTATCGTAATTTGTTAATACAATATGTTTTATTAATTTGTTAATACAATAATACGTTTTATTAATTAATTATTAACAAATCCGTCTCTTATTGTGCTTAGTAAATAAATAATCTTAAATAAATAATCTTTTTGAAGACTACAGTGCGATGTATTTTTCTGAACTTTTTTACCTTAATATTTATTATTACTTTATTTAAAATTATTTTGAATAAAGTAATAATAAATATATATATCTATAAATACATTACAAATAAATACATAAACCATAAAAGTTTCTTTTTATTAAGAATGCAATTCTTTTTAAATAAATTTTATATCTTCTTACTTCATTTATATATTCTTTATATATTCTTTTAATATACATCGCTCAAAAGTTTCAGCACATCTTAAGTTTTTTCAATTCCATTTTTCATATAGACGTAAAATATGAAATCATGATATAATATATTTTTTTATTGTCAATCACAGAAGTATTCAATAAGGTCGCGAATTGTCGAAAAATAATTATAAACAAAAATTACAAGTACATTTTTTAAATAGATAAATATATACACTTATTAGAAAAAATATTGATTTCAATTTTGATATCCTATTTTCCTATTTGATATGGCTATTTCGATTCCAATATTTAATTATCACGACGAATAACAATAAAAAAATAGTATAAAAATAATATTCTTGCAGAAATTAAATGCCAAATGAAACGTTAAAGTCATTAATAACATTTAAAGAATTTATTGACAAAATAACAAGAGTTTTCTAAGTGACTTGTTATCAAAATCTAAAGCTTGAAGAAGTAAAAATCTAAAAAATTAGTTTTTTCTAATTTTAGTAAAAATGTGTAATAATAAATTTAAAAAATGTATAATAAAATAATTCAAGCAAACTCTATTTACATTTTATTCTTTATATTACGTTTCCATAAACGGAGAGTAGCTGAAACTATGAGTGGTATATGAGTGTATATACATATTTTCATTTGTGTTTATTTAAACAAAAAATATGTAATTCATGCTACAAAGATAATAGTTAATTCTTTAAATAATAGAATTCAATTCATAAATTTAAATCATATTTTATATTACACTAATTATTTTTTATTTCGTTGAAAGAATGTTGGACGAAACTCACACAATCTAAACGATGCACCAGACGCAGACGTTATATCGGAAGCTCGCACTCTACCTCGGCTAATCTGCAGATTGTCGGATTATGAAAAATTTTGTCTCTGTGATATTTCCGGCAACGCATTTCATGGCGCTGTGACGACGCAATCAACATATCTCTACCTCTTTTCGCATAAAATAGTATCTCCCACTAAATGCGCGCGTGCAATTTTTAGATGCTTTTATTTCGAGAGTCGAAGGTAGCAGCGAGATGATAATTAAATAAATACACAACAATGCACGCGTAGAAAACTTGATATCGCTGCACATTGTAACGCGCGCGCGCACGTTCATTGTTCTTGTTTCCGCGATTACAGAAACAGGTCGTGCGTGTTTTCTGCAAATGAATTAAACGAATTGAAGAATCTCGGATGTCCGTTCCAGTAATGCGACTACATGAATTAATAAGATCGTTTAAGCTGGTAAAAAAAAAACACACAATCTTGATAGTATTTCCCCAATGATACGCAAAATAGCAAAAAAAATAAATAATAATAAAATAAAGTTGAGAAAACATACTAGAACGTGACGCTGTGGTATTTCCCGATGATAAATTTCATATTCATCAAACACGCGAAATAACGGTTACCGAATTTATCACTAGGTATTATTACGTCACGTTCGCTTACCCTCATAATCATGCTGGTGGGTAGCATATGCAGGAAAAATATGATTCTACGAAACGATCGTTAATCTTTTTACTGAGAATACACGTCATGCCCGCCATCGTCACAAACTACAACACCGTATTCTTACGCGTCGGAAATGCTTTGTTTTTATCATTTACTTTTAATTTCCGCTCGGTTTTTTAACTCGGAAATAGTCATCTGGGGTCTTCAGCGGCAAGAAAATGTGAATTGAAAATATTATTTTGTATGGTTATTGTTTCGTTATGGTTACTGTATTTTCTTTCTTTTTTATTAACTATTCTTTACGAATCTTTAAATATGCAATTTCATTAAAAATCTATAATAAAAAAGTGTTCTATCAATTAAAATTTTTAGAAATTGTCATAAGCTATTTAACGTGGTTATTTGTTTGATTTGTATTTTTTTTTGGAAATTGTGATTAAACCTATGTCCATAATATTTCCAACTCTAATAAATCGGAAACAGTTAATAAGATACAATAGGATGTTATAACAATGATTTTAATTATAAAAACACTCTAGATAATTTACGTAGAAAAAAATCAAGTGTCTATTCCCAAATTAGAAGAAGTTAAATTCATGAAATAGTCTAAAATCTCGAAGAGGAATAACTGTTGGCTGACAAAATCGTCGATGCATCTCGCGTGAATATATATGTTGATGCCTCGGGCACACGTTTTCACGACATTTATCGAGCTGCCTGGAGAGGATTCGCGTTGAGAGCAGACTTTTTTACGAAGGGAAGACTCGGATAGCCATGCACTTATTCTCCAAATGCCTAAAGTAGATTCTATTGCGGGTAAATGACGGGGAAGTCGCATAACTGCTGCGGGGTTTTACGACTGAAAACGTGAAAACCGCAACATGTACACGCGTTTCTTATGCGTTTTGTCAAACGGACTGGTACTAGAATGTGTAATGCGGCTGCTACTGTCGGAAAGTAACATGTGTCCGCATGCCAACAGTAAACGTCGTACATGCAATTTTGATGGAGAGCTGGCCTGCATAAAGACTGTTGCAGACATGGCCAGCGCTATACAATAATATCATCTCCAGTAATAGCGAAAGTATGAATTAAACGTAAATTATCAAAAAGCTCTGGGATGTTTTAATTAACACCGATATGTTTTATGATCATTTTTTCCAACTAGTTAACTTTTAATTACAGTCTGACCAAGGGATTTGAACGAATAGTTTTAATCTTTCTATGTGTAAAACAAAATAACTGTATATTCAGTAAGAGAAATACTGCCACAAACATTAAAAAAAATATGGCTAAAAAGAGATACTTTATTATTAGTATTCATTTAATGTTATTGTATTAATATAATATTATTAATTTGCTATTAAGTTTTTCAGATTTTTATATATATGCACGGGAAAAAAATTTCACTGAAGCATCTAAAAATTTAGTTAGGTACAAGAATCAAGTATGAGCAATAAAAAGCCACAAAAAGATTTTGAGATTCTAGAAACAAGTTTGAGTCCTGCATAATTATTTTAATAGTTAAAAAAAAATTATTTTCAGATCTCTCAAAAATTATTCTCAGATCTAGCTAAATTTTTAGACTCTTCAACAAAATATGTTCTTTCCGTGTACAATTTATATATTATATTTTATATTATATTAAAATTATTATTATTATTGACATAATAGCTGGGAATAATGTACTAGAAAAAAACTGTAAGGAAATTTTTCTCTCGAGTTTCGTATGTGAGCAAGAGAGCAACGCAGTGATATCATATCGATCTGCTTGCCGCCCTGTTACAGCTGTACCTGACGTCGAACGTCTCGTCGAGCGACTTCAACATGGGCTACAGTATGACAGGCACACTGGAGCGCGGCTGCAAGAAGACCAACTCCTTCCAGATGACCCACTTCGCGGTGATACGGCGACGGGACTATGAGAAGGCGTACGAAGACCCAAATCCCACCTAGTGTCCGTCCACACCCACGCTCTCCGAGTGTGGGGATTGCGAGCATTACACGTAGCTGGGGGAGCAAAGGGCCGCCAAGAGAAGCGAGATGCACTTCGCATTTGCGCTGGAGGGAGTGAATCCGCCGCTGGATGGATCATCGGGAAGGAATCGCTACTTAGTGCGAAATCGATCACAAAATCCCGAAGCTCCTGGTGGCAGGTCGGCTCAACGAAGGTATCCTCGAGGAGATAGCGTTCGATCGCGGATCGCCTGTGATCGAGAATCTCTTAGAGAAATATGTGTACATTAGACCGCTAAATCCTGTTTGCGTTTCTCGTTTACTGCAAAACTTCTAAAAGGAATGTTGAAGACAGAAAATAAATGTGCATAGACAAAAGCTAAAACGTCATTAGAAAGTGAAAAATACGAAGGGAAAGTGGAAGTAAAGAGATAGTAGAAGAATAAATAGAAAAGAAAGGCTAACACTGCGATTCTATATTGAATTATCTACATTTCTCTTTTAAGACATCAGGATGAGAGATAATCAAGATAAAGTGTGAAGAAGGAAACTTTAATTCACATAGAATCAACATTAGCTCGTGATAATAAGAGATCATGGAGATGAAAGGTAGAAGATCAAGATAAAGGATTATGAAGAAAAAGGAATGCCGAGAGTTTTAATTCTTATTCTTAGGATAAATATTTCTTTCACGAGATTTCCCACAAAATAAACTCATGATGGATCTCTCGCAGTAATTGACTTCTTTGAAGACGTATAGCAATATTTTTTTTACTCCTAAAATTACGCACATAACGGCATAATTTTTGCATGTATACCTGAACTGTATGTTTTAAGGCTTAATTAGCGCTCTAATGAACTACACAGCGTCTTTCTGTTACCTCAAATTGTCAAGGTACATCATTTTCGCGCGTAATGGAGTTCGAGATCGGACGAGACCTGACAGCGACCTGGAAACGACAGGGACACTTCGTTTCTTCGAGAAGGTAAGAATAGCTGAAAGCTCGTTATTATCGCGAAACATAGAAACGAAATACCAAAATCGAGTGGCGGCCCTGCGCAACAGAGCCAAACGTCCAAAGATAGTCCTTAAATTAGATCGAATTAATTAGCTCTTAATGGAAATCGTCGAGCGACGCGTATACCTATAAGGAAGTGTATACAGAGAGCGACGTTGATCGAGAGGATGCGAAAACTGTTTTACCAAAGTACTAGCACGTAAGTTACTTGCAACTTTCTGCCGGCGATAATCCAAGATCGCAACACACACTCCTTCAACCCACAAGGTACACTGCTTCTCATCGATCGACGCATCGATGGCTGCTGCTGCCTCGTCGAGATTATAATTAGTAAATGATTCACGACTAAAGCTTTTTCTCGATGAATCCACGGCGAATCAGCTGCCTAGAGTAGTATTATATGTGCCAATTCTCAAAGCTATCGTTGACGAGCACTGTACCTGACAATTACTACAAAGTCAGAGCGTGCGAATGCGCACGATGAAAAGCCTGAGATGGACGAAACGATGTTTTCCAACCCCATTTCGCGGCCAGTCGAAAGGCGTTTAAAAGAGGTTTAAAAGAGATCTGTAGAACCTGGGAGGAGTTAACACATTGAGAAAAAGATTAAAATATCTTTTAGCTTTGTGCGATATTGTTAATCTCGTAAAATAACATCATCCGGCTTTTATGATTTATTCAATTCTTTTATAATGTGTTCACACAAATGAAAACTTTAATTGCAGTAGTATATAGTTGGTGTAAATTAAAAATAATATTCAATATTATAATTTCGCATTCAATAATGTAACTGTTATGTAACATCGTGTTATATTACATTTGTATTATTTGAATGCAAAATTATAATATTGATGTTATGTTACTTTTAGTTTTTGTCAATTGGATAAATAGAATCTTAGAATATTCAATAATTTTCTTTCGATCACAATATATCAAAATTTGCCTTTAATTTCTTGAAATGCAATTTAATTTTCAAGTACAAAGTTATTCTAAAATGATACACAGGAGTTCATCGATTTATACCTTCAATAATCAAGTTCCTTATTTGATCGGTTTTGACCGTTTGAGGGTCTATCGCATTTCAAATTTGACGGTTCGCTAGAATGGAAAATTTCATATGGCGGGGCCCGTGTCAGGATGCTGGTTATAAATATCGTTTCGCCGCTGGTCTAAGGCTTTATAGGCAGTATGTAACTGTAGCGTGTAGCCGGCTTACAAGGTATTTCAAAGCTTGTTACGCGCCCCTTTCTTTGAGCCACCGACGGACGTCGCTCAAGGAAGGAAGAAAAGCCGCGAGAGAAAGAGAGCTTCGCTGCACTGACGCCGGATACACACGTGACACAAAGCGAGAGACCTCTCTCGCTTTATCTTACGTATGGGATCATCGTGAACCGGTGTTGTAAACGCGTAACACGAGACTTATTTTTGCTAAAGAGTAGGAAGTCACTCACTAGTCACGATGTATCCCGATGAGATCTAAGTCAACGATCGCCGATCGTTCGTTCGGAACGGGATGCGATTCCGGCGAAAATCGGGAGAAAAACAAGAAGAAGCCTCCGTTAACGGGTTTGATCGTGAAAGATTCGACGAGTCTTTCTGTATTATATTATATTTTTATTAATGTGAAACGATTGATCTATATTAGCGAGTAAAGTGTTGTGTTTTGATGCCGTGCTTAAATGATTTATTTATTGAATAATTATTGTTACTTGTCTTTTTTTTCGTAATTATTTATGCTATTATCGATATTGTATCGAGATTCTCGAATCGTTTCTAATGTAAAAGTGTCTAATGGCAGAGTGTACGAGTTTGATACTATCTTTAGATAGAAGCCGATAAACGGTGAACGAACGGTCTCAAAAATTCTATTATAATAAACTCGTCATACGTAACTCCCCTTTATATAATCCTCGATGAAAATCTAGTACCTTTCGCTTTTGCTCAAGGAATTACCTATAATGCCAAATAAATACTATGTGCAATAGCGCGCAAGTTAAGTCGTTTGCAATTTGATATTAAGATACGCATTGCGTTAAGAGATTTCGATTAATTATTAAGATAAAGAAAGATGCATTTTTCAAGCATTGGGAAAAATTTTAGAATGCTATTTTAGATTATTTCCCTTAGGGATGCATTATTAATGATTACTAAATCTATGTCGGGAATTCATTAAAGCAATCCTTTCAGTATCAAATTCAATGCAAATATTGCAATAATTGTTTTTTGTTCATTTTTTCCTTAATTCTACTTTTAACTTTGTTAGTTCTTAGTACAAACATTAAATTAATAATCTGTGAATCTCTGAACATAACAGCGACAGCAAAAGATAATATTCAAATAAATTTTTATAGTTTAATTTAATGGACCTTATCATTATTAATCTTCAAATTTTTAATAAACTGCAATCCCTCCTAACTTATTAATAAAATTCAATCTTTTATGTTTGGTAGATAATGAAAATTGACGTGTAATATACGGTACAGAAATACTGAAAGGATTAAGTAGAACTTTATGGTTCACTGTCTCAATTGTTCTTTAGTTGCTGAATAACGCGTGCGTCGAATCGCTTTTCTCGAATTAGTGTAGATGCAGGCAATCGAGTCGGATTCCTCGAGCCTTCCACTCGAGTGGAATTACATGTTTACAGGGTTTAACGTTGTTTCGCAATTCAAGGGGATAAGAAAAAAATTTCTCATTTCCTTCAGCAATTCTTATGACCCTAATCAATGCTTTGATGAAAATTCCAATTGCTGAAAGGAGGAAAGAGTAATTTTGTGAGCTGATATTACATGATACAGTAAACTCACGTTAACTCGAGTCGTCCAATGCCACAAATCCTTCTCTAGCTTACTATCCTTCACAAGTTACTGCTAGTTTCGAGTTTCTCCGAATTCGCACTAACGAGGGTTCATTGCACAGGTACTGTACCATTATGTGTGTCAGAATCGAGTTCGTTATCCACGTACTTGGATTGCGAAAATCAAGTAAAGAATCAATATAAGTGTACCATTGCATGTATATAAGTATATAGTGTATAAAACCTATGCATATATATGTACAATATGTCTCACCTACACATGCACAACAATAACACCTTCCGTGAATAGATGAAGTTTTACGAGATCCTGGTTGATATATATGTTGTAGATTAGTAGATTAGAACTTATCAGTCGCTTCTTTTAGTCAATCTAGTCCTAGATGTAGCATGGGTCGCTCGTCGTAGTTAGATTGTTTTCAATAGCGGATTATATCTAAGGGATTACGCCGAGAACACTCGCAAGCTTGTGAACTATAAATTCAGATTATGTGAACTCAGGACGAATCGATGATAAAAATCGAATTATGGAAATTTTCGTTTTTTCTAGCTAAAAGTTATTTCTCTGAAACGTAGCGCTTCGTTCGACACGAATCCGCTTTCCTTCTTGGCGAAAAGCCTCGCTTCCGTTTTACGACGTCGCGACTCCCAAGTTCAACAACGGAATTTCCGGCGCGAGTAAGCCTAGATGAGATGACGTCTCGCTCAGCTTCCTGACTTCTAAGATTCATGATCACCAGTTTATGACGTTCTCGGTTGATGTGACTCGACGGGAAGCCGATTTATGAGCGCGGAACTTGTTAAGACCCTTGGCGAAAATCACGAATATTCGATATCCTGCGCTCTCTTACTATACATATTATTAGTGCCATTTACAGCCGAAATTCCCGCTGGTTTCTAGAATCCTTGCAAAACGCGATAAATATTTCTACACGGCAGTAAGGCGTAACAAGATGTCGATAATATTGAAAAATTTCCTGAATGATCACAAACACATCCATTATGTAACGAAAATCCTGAATCCATTTTTTTCATAATAAAAATGTCGAAGTGCCAATCATTTTCACTTATTAAAAATTTGTTTTACTTTCCAATTTGAATGATTAAATTTTCAATTAAAATGTCTGAACTTAAGAAATAAAAAAAATTCATGTAAAAATTTGATTAACACACAAGTGATGTATACACTTCAATTTTAGAAATCATAAAAAGTCGTAGAAAATATCCAATATTATTGTAGCCAATTAAATTTTCTTGTTATTTGGAGTATTGATTGTGAATTCGGGACAACTGTTATTTTGACGTATTACCAGTATGACACGCTGTGCATTATTCAGTTCATGCTCGCTACGAGGGTTCTCGGTTTCGCCTCCGGCAGAATAATATTATCGTGTCGCCTAAAATGTAGTCGTATCCTCACTTTTCGGGGTAGTCTTCTATAAGCCTTTTAGGATGATTTAAGTGAATACATACGTCCGATATCACGGTCCCTCCTAACTACTTAGCCGTAGTCTAGACCCACTGATGCACGCTTCCTTCAAGTCTAAAGAGAGGTCACCTATCTTCGTCTTCAAGCTGCACAACGGGTCTCTAGTCTATCTTATCGCGTCGCGCTACCTAATCGCATCCGAATCGCTCAAAGTATCATCCAAGTTAATTTAATTTTTAAACTTTGTATTTCAAATATCCACATTAATTTAATTATTTCGTAACTATATTCTACTGTAATTATATTCTTAAGAATCTTAAAGTAACTCACACTTACGCTCGAAGAGAAAATCTTAGAATTGAATTTACATTTCTTAAGGAATTTT